AGGCGGATCTTTGTGAGTTCGAGGCCAGCCTGGTCTACAGAGTGAGATCCAGGAAAGGCACAAAGCTACACAGAGAAACCCTGTCTCAAAAAAAAAAAAAAAAAGAATGTGGCCCCAGCCCTCTCAGGCCACCCAAGAAATGCTTCTGCACTGTGCTCTGTCTACAGTGCAGGTGAGCTGGAGTCTGACCAGCCTTGTTAGGAATCCTATGGCCTGTGCCCTGGACAGAGCTGGCTCCTCCCTAGCATGTTACCTCACAATCATTGGGTCACAGTTGAGTTCTTCTATTTGTCCGGGCTCCAGTTCCCATCTTGTGAACCCAGGGTGTGGGTTCGGTCCAGTGTCTATCCAGGTGGGGAAAAGCTGCCGGCCAGCCACAAGGCCTCTGATGTAGTGTGCCGGGAAATGTCAGGTGCGGTACCTGTCATCGCCTGTGCCACAGGAGAAGGGGGGTGTGTCTGTGACAGATGGGGCCTCCACGGCTGCTGCCCCCCCCCAGGATATCCGCCACGCCCCTGTTACTCAGGATGGCACACTGCTACTGTCCTGTCTGCAGCTCACCTGTCAGGCTGGGGGCAGCTCTGTGGGCAGAATTCCCTGAAATGAGTCTCTTTCTGAGAAGGAGGGAGCTTTCAGAGGCACCACCTGCTGCGAGCTCTGTCCCTGTCCGGGCCAGTGAACTAATGAGGAGGGGATCGTGCAACAGCTCAGAGAAAAGCCTGGGGACCAGAGCGTAATAGAGAAACTTGACTTGTATGTCCGCAGAGCCAGGGGTACCGAGTCCTGTCAGAACAGGTGCAGCCCTTGTCATAGCAGACAGGTGCCAGTGTCCCTTGCCTTCCGAAATTAAACCCACTGTGGAGGTCGCATTTACATTGAATAGTCAACTTGCCACAATCTAGAACCTCTTGGGAGGAGCATCTCAATGAGGGATCGTCTGGATCAGATTTGCTGCATGAGATTGTCTTGACCACGCTAAAGATGAAGTGGACATCATCAACTTCACCAACAGTGGGCGGCTCCATTCCCTTGGTCCTGAACTGTACATATGGGTAGAGAAGGCAAGTGGTTGGAGCGCTGTGCGTGTCTGTATTTGTTTCTCTCTCTCTCTGCTCTGGATTGTGGATGTGACTAACTGCTTCAGGTACCTGCCTTGACTTCCTCGCAATGATGGCCTGTGTAACCTGGAATTAGGCCAAATAAACCCCTTTTCCCTTGAAGTTGCTTTTGTTGGAGGGTATTTTGCCACAGCAACTGGAAATGAAACCAAGGACGGTGGCGTATACACCAAATCACACACAGATGTTATGCCCCTCTGTGTCACAGCAGGGCAAGAAAACTTACAATAGGCCATCACCACTCTGTAGGTGCTGGGCGTGCTCCCGGGAAAAGGAACAGAAGCCTTCGGGTGTGTGCAGACTTTCATGATGATCGCAGGCATCCAGGTGTGAGTGTGGATGCTGGTGGTGTGCAGGATGTCGTGGATCTGCCCAGATGTGTACCTCAATCATCTGTGTAAAATCACTGTGACACCATGACACTGAGGATGAATCTGTGAATCCTTGGCTTCCCGCTCAGCATACTATGACGTCATCTGGGGCTGGCCATGCTCTTTAAAAACTCTGTGAATGACCTCTGCTCACCTGGGTGGGGGTGGGGGTCATTGAGTAGTATCCTGGCTCCTGCTGGCCCGGTACCTTCCACCATAAGCTGCTTTAACCCCAAGGGCTCGCTAGGGGGCAGAGTAGCTATAGCAAGCCACTGCTTCTGCATCAGGCTTTGGGAACCTATGAATGTCTGTGCCCATCTCTGAAGATGCAGTCATCCATGTACGCGCGCCAAACCCAGGCTTCTCAGACAAGGTTTATTGTGCAGAAAAAAAGTGAAAGACGAGCCATATCTTCGCATCGAGTCTGTGTGTGCTTGTACACTACCCTCAGAGCTGATGATGTCTGTACAGTCAGCCCTCAGCCCACAGAGCCAGGGCTAGAAGGACCCCCCCCCCTGCCCTGTGCACAGAGTGGGAGGGGCACTGAGGGGCAGGCTGTGATGCTCACTGCTCAGTGCCCACTTCCTCCTACCTGGGCTTCTACTTCCTTCCCCTGTCAAGGAAATGTCACTGCCCCAAAGAGGCCCTCAGAGTTGTGCAGGGAGCCAGCGTGGGCCTTCTGGAAGTTTCCTCCAGGCTCTGAAGGAGACACTGGCACAGGTTTGTGGGAGGCAGCACTGTGATGGAGTTCAGGGGTCAAGTTGTCCGCTAAGGGCTGTAGAGCTTGGAACAGGAAGGGGGTGCTCAGGGATGGGGGTGGGGTGCGTGGCTACAATCCAGGGGTCAGAAGAAGACTAACACAAGTCAGAAAGCTTGTAAAAGTATCAATTAGTCCAAATTATCTGTCCCACTCAATGTTTGTCTTTCCTGCCTCTCCCAGGAGAGGAGGCTGGAGCAGGGTAAATCGGGGGTGAGCAGGTCTGGTCCTTCCCTTTCTAAGTGTGACTGAGTGGCTCTGTGTCATGTCTGGGGCAACCAGGAAGATGGCGGCCCCCAGTGTGGTTCTCGGCCCAGCGTTCGGGGGTGTTTGTCGGACCAGTGGGCTTTCACATCAACAGTGATGCTGTGTGCGCCGTTCTGTCCCCTTGAGAGAGAGGACTTACGTTCTGCTCTGGACCCTTATCTTTGTCCATTTGTGTTTGTTGAAGTTTTAGAGTGTTTGACGGCTGTATTAGAAGTCCACACTTGGTTGTAAATGGCTGGCACCTATGTGGGTGCCGTCTTGCTCTGACTAAATCCAAGATCCTCCTAGACCATGTGTGTCTAAGATCCTGTTTCTTCACTTTCGGTTACGACAGGACTCCAGCCTAGAGTAGTGCAGCCTGGGAAGCCATGCCCGACCCGCAGAGGCGTAATTAGAGCGCAGCCTTGGTAGTCCGCCCTCTGCTTCAATTGTTCCAAGACCTGTGCCGATATGCGTGCTTTATCTCGGAATAAACGCCATAAACATGTCCTGGCAACAGACGCTGGTACAGCGGGTCCTGTTTCGTGCTGAGGCCCCTGAGGCAGGCAGAGAGAGAGAGAGAGAGAGATCTGTGTTTGTTGTCCAGGCACTCAAGACTCCTCTGAGAGGAAAACGGACCCGAGGTTACCTGGAGGTCACGGTTTCCTCTGAAGCAGAGGGATCCGTCACAATGGACTTTGTTGTCTCGGGAATTCTTTTGAATGAGCTCCCCAGGGACCTGGAAACCAGGGATATTGACAGTTCACTAAGGAAAGCTCCAGGGGAGGCGTAAGTGTGGCTTCTCAGATGGCGGGGAGACCTGCTTGTCCCTCTATCATTTAGTGCAGTGCCCTGGAAGTGAGCAATGGGGAGCAGACAGCATGCTGGGACGCGCGTCCTGGGAGCCGTGACAAGGAGCTGTAGGCTTTCTCTTCTTCTCTTTTACCTGGATTTGGAGCTAGCCTGGTCTATTTGTGCGACTGTGATAAAATGCCACAAACCAGACAGTTTATAAAGAACAAGTTTATTTACTCACAGTTCTAGAGACCAGGCAGTCTGAGGTCAAGGTGTCAGCATTGGGCGGGAGGGTCTTTTGAGGCCCCCCCCCACAGCTTAAGGCAGAAAGGCAAGTGGGAGAAATACCAAGGGGAGGACCTTCACTCCACAGCAGAGTAGGAGACGGTTACCCCGTCTTTGAGAAAATACCCAGGGATCTGGGACACCTGGACAGTCTTATTCTGCGGCATGTAGATAGAGTGGATCTACAGAGAACTTCCGAAGGAGTGAATGGAGGCCTTGGAATCTCAGACTAGATCCCACAGGTCTGACCTTTGGCCTTTGGCCTTTGACCTTTGACCAGGTACACCAACTCAGTGAAGGAGGAAAATTTTCACGGGTAGCACCAGAGAAGCTGGACATCTGGAAGTGTCTGGGAAACAGCCTAAGATTTCATTTAAATGGATTCCATAGTTGAATACAAGATGCAAAACCATAAAACCTTTAGGGAAAGTAGTAAGCAGTCTCTACGACCTGGAACTGAACCAGAACTTCTTCTAATTAACACCCAAAACACCCATAAAGAAAAACTTGAGCTGGGTGGTGATGGTGCATGTCTTTAATCCCAGCATTAGGGAGGCAGAGCCAGGCAGATCTCTGTGTTTGAGGCCAGCCTGGTCTACAGAGCGAGTTCCAGGACAGGCACCAAAACCACACAGAGAAACCCTGTCTCAAAAAACCAAATTAAAAATAATAATAATAATAATAAAATAAAACTAATAATAATAAAAGAAAAGGAAGGAAGGAAGAAAGAAAGGAAGGAAGGAAGGAAGGAAGGAAGGAAGGAAGGAAGGAAGGAAGGAAGGAAGGAAGGAAGAAGAAAAACTTGATACATTTGACCTCATCGGATCTGAAAATCGGTACTCTGTGAACAGTCATGTTCTAAAGAGGACCTAAAGACAAGCTACAGACTGGAAAGAAAGCACAAAGCACACATCTAACAAAGGATGAGGCAGCTTCAAACTCAGCCACAGAAGCAAAGTGCCGGGTGAGCGGCCTCGGGCAGTGGGGTCGGTGTTCCAATGGCGAGGGTGCACAGACCCACAGGTGCACCAGTCCTCGCCTAGTGGAACAGCGAAGACCGAAAATAACGACCATCCAAATGCTGGGCGGACTGAAGAGACAGGCTCACTCATGTGCTGTGCAAATGCCCATATTAGAAAATAGTTCAGCGGGCTGGAGAGATGGCTCAGAGCTTATGAGCACTGGCTGTTCCTCCAGAGGTTGTGAGTTCAATTTCCAGCAACCACATGGTGGCTCACAGCCATCTATAATGGGATCTAATGCCCTCTTCTGGCATAAAGGCGTACATACAGTTAGAGTATGCATATACATAAAAATAAATAAATAAATCTTTTAAATAAAAGAAGAAAGAAAGAAAAGAAAATAGTTAGGCAACTTTGAAAAGAAAACATGCAGGTCTCCCAGAGCTGGCGAAGGTTACACTCCTGGAGATTCATCCAGAGAGGTGGATAGACATGCTTGATCACCCAAATACAGATGTTTATATTAGCTTTATCTGTAAAACTAAAACCTGTAGAGACTAGATGTCCTTCTGTGGATGATTGGTTAGATCATGGAGCACCTGCACCAGGGGATCCGGAACATGACTCGGCCTCAAGAAGGAGGGAGCTGTGGGCACTCTCCACCACTGAGTCCCTCCATAGAAGTCCTTTAGTAAAAAGCCAGCCCCCAAAGGGCCTGTGCTCTAGGAGTTCCGCTCACATAACACGCTTCCCGTTGTGCAGGGCAACAGCAGAGACAAGGCTGGGCTCCCTGGGGCTGAAGGCATGGAGGGGAGGGGCTGGAGTGTCTACCCAGGGCAGCTCAAGGCACCACGGGTGTCTTGTAGCCACTGTCCACTGTTTCCATGCCAGGGATTTGTTGTGATATTAGCTGAGGTTCGGAAAGTTGTTTGGGGGATATCTTTCTGTTTTTTTTTTTTTTTTTTTTTTTCTCTCTCTCTCCCTTTCCCTACCTCTCCCCATACAATGGCGTATCAATCTGTCATTAGTTAAGAAAAACATGCAAGGCCCCACCCTCTGCCAGCAATTCCATCCTGAAGCGCTGACTGGGAAGCATTTGTCCTGTGCAGACGGGGGCGACTTCTTTCAGACAGTGATGACCTCCACCCCCTTGTAGTCAACAATGATTCCAGCTGTATGGGTTTTCGGCTTGAGTAGATGTCAAACAGGTTAACTCAAGTCCCGTGACCTTGACATCGGCCTTTGAAAATATGTCTTCCAAGTTAAGGCTTGAATAAATAAAATTCTAAGATTAAGTTGAATGTTTAAACATCCGAGCAGAACATAGGAAGGCAAAGGAAGGGGCAGAGAGCATGGAGGATTTGAGGCTTTGGAACAACCCAGAGTCCTGCTTCTGGCTTCCAAGTAGAATCAGGTGGAAAGATGACAAGGCGGCCAGGCTGCACCCCTGCTGGGCAGGTACCGGGTGGCTGGATGCACCCCTGCTGGGCAGGTACCGGGTGGTAATGCAGTGCTCAGATGAACCCCAGCTGGGCAGGTGCGGGTGGCTGGCTGCACCCCTGCTGGGCAGGTACCAGGTGGCCCAGTGCAGTGCCCAGCTGCACCCCTGCTGGGCAGGTGCCTGGTGGTAGTGCAGTGCTCAGATGAACCCCTGCTGGGCAGGTGCGGGGGTGGCTGGATGCAGTGCTCAGATGCACCCCTGCTGGGCAGGTGCCTGGTGGCTGGCTGCACCCCTGCTGGGCAGGTACCGGGTGGTAATGCAGTGCTCAGATGCACCCCTGCTGGGCAGGTGCCTGGTGGCCCAGTGCAGTGCTCAGATGCACCCCTGCTGGGCAGGTGCTGGATGGCTGGATGCAGTGCCCCGGGCTGTACCCAGGGGCTGACTACGCTGTTCTGCGTCACTGTTTCTGGAGATTTCATGCGATCCTGAGCACATTCTGTGTCCTCTGCTGCCGACCACTCCACTGAGGAGGAAAGAGGAAGCTTCACACTGAAGA